GTGGGGGCATTCTTCACCCCCGACTCCACGACTGACGCCTTTGACACAACTCACCACTGATGAAATGACCGGCAGCTGGAGTCAAACATCTGAGACAATACGTGATCAGAGGGAGCAGTGACATCATGTGACGAAGAAGAGGAAGAAGAGGAGGAAGAAGAAGAAGAAGAAAAAGAAGAAGAAGAAGAATAAGAGGAAGAAGTAGAAGAGGAGGAGGAGAAGAATGAAAAAGAAGAAGAAGAAGAAGAAGAAAAGGAAGAAGAAGAAGAAGAAGAAGAGGAAGAAGAAGATGTAGAAGAAGAGGAAGAAGAGGAGGAGAAGAAGAAGAAGAAGAAGAAGAGGAAGAAGAAGAAGAAGAAAAAGGAGAAGAAGAAGAGGAAGAAGAAGAAGAAGAAAAAGGAGAAGAAGAAGAGGAAGAAGAAGAAGAAGAAAAAGGAGAAGAAGAAGAGGAAGAAGAAGAAGAAGAAGAAGAAAGGAAGGAAGTCTTCTTCTACCTGCGCTCGGCCAACTTATATTCCTTCCAATTCCTCCTATTTTAATGGCAGTTCGTCAAAACTCCTTGGCAGAAAATGCTCCAATGTCCAAGTGTTGAGGACGAACTCGTCTTCGTTCTTCTTCTTCTTCTTCTTTCGTATATTTCTGCGACATCACGCCTGAGAAATGTGTGACATCTGTTCTGTGAATTCCTGGACAGACTCAGACAGAATGGAACATGTGGAATTTCTTATACCAACACAGTGAATAGTGTGTACTTTATACTTGGACGTTTTTATCCAGCAGAACTGCCTGATGGGAAATCAACACATTGACCAAAGATAATGAGGATAATATGTTTGGACAGTCAGGCCTGTAATTGTGGAGCTTTGTCTACTGGGCCGCGGGGTGTACTAAACACTGAGAGGGAGGAAGAGGAGAACCACCAAACATCGTCCCCCAGGGCGGCGATACCGAGAGGCAGCTGAAGAGAAGAAAGAAAAGGAAATAACAAAGATGGATGAGTGGAAACAGGAAACAGAGGAAGGAGAGGAAATGACCAAGGTGGCGGCCGAGCAGAGAGGAAGAATCCAGAAGATATAAAAACAGCTTTTAACGGTCGCTGTTAGATTCATGAATCGATCGACTAAAAAAAAAAACCCTGAGCTGTGATTGGTCATCAGCACATCAGCTGAAAATCTTTTGGCTAACGACGTGTGATTGGTCATCAGCACATCAGCTGATAATCTTTTGGCTAACGACATGATGACAATGATGACGATGATGCTCATGGTTTTACCATGACCCACATGTAAATCACTGGTGTCGGCAGGAAACTTCCAGAAGCTTCTGCTTCATCTTCTTCTCCGCTGGAAACTTTTTTAACCCATTTATCGACGCCATGTTTGTTTTCCCTCCACTGATCGTCTGTGTCTGCGACGTCATCAGCCGTATACGTACGTCATTGATGAAGACGGTGAGACAGTGGTTAGTTCTCATGCCTTACAATGAGAGGGTCAGTGGTTGGATGGTGGGTGGTTTATCATACATTGGCAGCCGTCAGCTCGGCGGCCGCCACACTCTCCCAGGGAGCGTCGATGAAGCTCCACGGTCGGCCTCCAGTTCACACCTCGGAGGATGAATCCCGCTGGGACCTGCCTCACGGAGCCACGGCTCGTCTTCGTTAACGAGTTGTGCCTTAATTAGCTAATGGTCAGCTCTTAACTGTGATCCAAGAACACAACACACACACACACACACACACATGGAAGTGTGTGTCTGCAAAAGTGCCTAAATTGGGAGTAAATCAAACGTTAAACGTGTGCCTGCGTGGGTGTTCGTGAGCCCCCTCCTCCTCCTCCTCCTCCTCCTCCTCTTCTTCTTCTTCTTCTTCTTCT